ATAGGAGGTCTTTAGACCGAGCCAACCATATTATGTGAATTAAATCCTAAAAGTTCATGCGAGACTGTTTTGAAAAGAAGGTCGTGACACTTTATACAATCCTAGTAATAACTAAATCAAAGATAATGATAATGAACTAATTGCAAGAGAATTGGTAATTGGTTTGATGATGGTAAACAAGATGCTTGGTTTAATGCATTTGCGTCATTTGATAAAGTGCTATCAAAAATAGGAAAAGACAATTAATAGATAAAATATTTTCTGATAATGGTTGCCATTGTCATAATTACGAATTAATGGTGATTACAATTTAAGTGTAACAGTCCAATTGATTTTCATCAATATTAAAAATAAAAACTTTTAATGCAATAATTTTCATCAACTTGCAAAAAAACTGGGAATTAGAGGGATAATTGATTATATTGTTAAAAAAAGATCTGAAAGATGAAACAGAATCATATAGGGAAATGGTGATGGAAGCAGTAAGTCAATAATTATGGATCACCAAAAACACAATTTCTAATATTGAAAAAACTTCTCAAAAAACAATAAAATGTTAATCAGCCAAATGCGGCTAGAATGTGAAATAAAATATACCTTAGTCAATAAGATCCAAATTAAAAGAAAAAAATTTAGATCCTTCTGAAGATAAATTGGTTATTAAACAGAGAGAGTTGGACCAATTTACTAATTTGAGCCGATAAATATTACATTATCATTATTATTATCAAGAATAATATTAGTGATGGTAGCCGAAATTTCCGAAATGAATTGGCCTAAACTTTGGTGAAACTAATTTTAATGGTTGAAATTATTTTGAAGTTTTTAAATAAAGTAGATTGATTTGGGCGAAACTAGCTTTTTTTCAAAAATAGTTTCAGCCACCATCACTAAATAATATCTTTTATCAATTAAAAATTTTAAATTTAAAATATACACAATCTTGGTTTAGCAGATAATTTGGGCAATTGGAAATTAAAATCCGTTATTATTATATTAATACAGTCAAAGCTTGTCACAGTGGATTATAATAATAATTAAATTCTTGTCATAATGGATTTTTAAATTTTTCTTATGTGTCCCGTTCATCCACCGTGACAAGGCTTGACTGCATTAAGAAATCCATTATATTGAGAAGAATTTTATTATTATTATAGTTTTAGTTGATGATTATTATTAAACCTCAACTCATTAAATTGAGGTACACTATTGAGATTCAGTGATGCTAGGACTGGGAAAACTCTGTTGAACGTCGCCACCAGATTAAGCACAACGCGAAAGTTGTTTGGTTGATTTTTTCTGTTTAGGAATAATTAACCAAAAATGGGCCACGGTACCGATCATCTATAATCATTAATTGCTTATAATACATAATAACAAATTGGTCAATTTCAAAATACTAAAACAAAAAAAATTATATCATTTTAAAAATTTAACCGATAAGTTTTATTGTTCACGACTCAAGCTTCAAAAATTATCGGCTAGTTTTTTCTTAAACTGAAAATTGGCTGAGCCTTAACATTTTGAAAATTCCGAATTTTGTTATACACTTAAGAAATTGAGACTAAGTAAATTTCGTGGAACAACTTTTTTTCAATAGAATATTTCTACAACATACATTTGATTTATTTGATTTATATATTTATTTCCTTTTTTTTTTAATTAATAAGTAAAAGACATTTACAACAAAAAAGTTTAGCGAACATATTACATTAAAAGAAAATCATTACATTGATTTTTGGGTAGAATTTACAACTTTTTATATATTCTGTTACATACCAGTTCAAACATAATTGTCCGAGGTCCTCTTTTCTTGATTAAATAATTTACTTTTTAAACCAATTAGTTTTGTTCGATATTTTGTTTTGGAAAGTTTTTCTTTAATTCAGCGATTTGTTCTTTTCGGAAACTTCAGGAGTTGGTTGCTTCTTCATTCTCTTCTATGGGAGAAGTTTTATCTTCTGTTGGCAAATCATCATTTTCGTCATTTTCGTTTTTTCAGCTAGTTTTGGTGATTTCAGAACCTTCATCTTTTCATTCTAACCTGACGACTTGTTCTTTAGTTTCTGGATCCAGCAAATTCAATCTTAACCCAAAAACAGAAAGGTTTTTTGAATTAACTAAGAGCCTTTATGATTTAGCGATTTCCTCTTGAAGAGCTTTTTCTAGGGATTATTTTTAGCCAATTCCACCAATTGCTCTTTTAATTCATTTGACACTCCATGTAATCCATGTTTCTCTAAATTTAGTAACTCGCCTAAGGAAATGCAAGTCACTCCCGTTATAATGACATTCGTTATAATGACGATCTTGTTATAATGACATTTTTTTAAAAACCAAATTTATAAATACAAATTTATGCCCGTTATAATGACACTCACTATTTATCCCGTTATACTAGTATAATGACATAATTTGTCAAAAATAATTTTTTTAATTATAGAATTTATCCCGTTATACTGACACC